GTGTGTGTGTGTGTGTGTGTGTGTGTGTGTGTGTGTGTGTGTGTGTGTGTGTGTGTGTGTTTCAGCCATTAGAATTAGCACTCGGGAGCCTGAATTACTTTTTTAATATCTATGATTTCCAGTATTGCTCTCAGCAGTTTAGGAGGGTGGTTTTTATATGTATTTGAATAAAAACATGCAGATTAAGGCAGCCATTGTCACGGCCTTCACAGCAGTTAGAGGTCTTACCTGCAATGCAGCGGATCTCAGGCAGACACATCATGATCTCAGGAAAGCGTTTGGGCTGGTGAGGGTACTTGAACTCAGTGAAGTCCTGACACACATACCAGTAGCGCTTGTTCAGCTGCTCAAGCTGGGAGATATTGGACAATCCTCTGATATCTGTATGAGGACGGGTATATTATAGTCCTGTGAGGGAGCAGCGTCAGGAAAAGCTTTGAATCACTGAGAACTGATTGCTCTTACCTTGGTTGAGGAAGTTGATGGCTTTCATGCAGGCATATTCCTCGTTGCTGATCTTTAACTGGTGGAACTTGCGAAACAGATATATCAGCCTCTCCATCACTTCCATCCCATCTTCACTGAAGCTGGTGGACGACAAACACTGGTCAGTCATGCTGCTGACCACACTGAGGCATATCTCAGGGAGCAGGCAGACTGACTGGGACTGAGCCAGGTGACCCTGAGTTGAGTTGTGCTAGCTGGATGCCAGACAGATGTTAGTGAGACTGACACAAAAAATCTGTCTATTTTCTCACAGTTTTGAGTCACCATGTAGTCTCTAACAGTCACAGCCCAGTGTGACACTATGCTTTGTGTTTATTCCCATTTTCACTCTACAACTCAAAAACAAAACCACAGATTTAATTTGAACATTTTCACGCTCACATTAAATCCTAAACACTGGAGCACAGTGGACAGTAATAAAGAGAAATCCTCTCAGTGCATTTATCTTAAGATTACATGCTTTAGTGAACAAGGCAAAACATGAAGGAGGGAACATGTCAGATCAACTTCAAGAGCTTTAGAACATCTGCTGATCCCAGAAGACAGAAAACTTTAATTCCCCTCATCATCACTTTCCTGTCTCTCTTACTTCTAATCTAGCGGTACAAACTTCAGAGATGCTGCTGTAAATCAGACACCCACTCCTAACAGCCCTCAACTCAAAGAAGAACTGTCCAAATAGGAAGAGCAGCGTCGTATATTAGGAGAGCGTGTCATAAGGTCAGATGATTCTGGTCTGATTTACACAGCAACAAACTCCTTCCCCACGCATCCTTTCCTACCTGTGAGTAGACGGGCATATATTTTGCTTGCCAGGCGGTGCTAGCCACAGCTCTGTCCTGAGGAGTCCTCTTATTCATGCACTACTTCACTGGCTCACAACCAACAAAAATAATGTCCCTGCTGTGATGGAGGAAAACATTAAAACCCAGAGATGCTGGGCTCACTAAGTGGAACTTTTTGATCTTGTAAGAGCCTGTTTCTCTAATGTGGAATGTTTAACTCCTTGTAGCTGCTTCTTTTTTGGAGAAATACGGAATTGGCTCAACTCCAGCCGTTTACATCTAACAATTAGTATCTCGTATGTGCTAATAGTGAGATAGCCTATAGAAAAGTAAAATAGGAGGCAGTGATATTTGCTGTGAGTGAGATGTTATCAGCATGTTCATTAATCAGTCATGGGGGAGGTGAATATGGAGCACTGCTCTGAAGGAAGCCATGATTCAAGACATTTATGTGAACGTTGTAAGTACCCTCAAAGCAACGGCTCTGTCCTCCTTCAGAGGGGCTACAGCAAAAAATAAGACTAGAATAAGTTTAGCTCCATAACTTTAAAACTACTGAAGTTTAGCTCAGCACCTTTAAAACTTTTAAAGTTTAGCTCCATAACTTTAAAACTACTAAAGTTTTGCTCAGTATCTTTAAAACTTTTAAAGTTTAGTTTAGCATCTTTAAAACTACTAAAGTTTAACTTAGCATCTTTAAAACTACTAAAGTTTAACTTAGCATCTTTAAAACTATTAAAATTTAGCTCAGTATCTTTAAAACTAATACAGTTTAGCACCATATTTTAAAATTTTAGTGCTAGTGTTCTGGTGTTCTGTTTACTAAGATTGCTTTACGGCAGCAGCCATCATGAATCAACCCAATAATTACTTTTGATAGTTCAGTGGGTCATTTTGCTAAAACTACAGAAAATACACACATGCGCACACCCACAGATACATGCAAAAAATGATTTGTTGCCCCTTGAGCTGCAGGTGAGAAAAAGCCCACAGTGTCTGTAAAGTCTATCTAAAGTCTGTAGATTCCTCTCTGATCGTGGATAAGCAGAATACGCCACAATAAATGTGTTCCACGGGGCCTCAGGTCTTAAGTTCAAAGAGCCGGAGCTGCTAGTCCACCTCCCACACACTCTGAGATATTCCTCATGTTTGGTGTCTCCTCCATGGCCGTCAGGGTCCTGTCTTTGCCATATACGATTCATCAGTGTCAAACACGACTCTTCTCACATGGGTGAAACAACAACAAAAAAAGCTGATTTATTGTCTGAATGCTGAGTCAGCCTTCACAACATTTTCTTGTTTATATTTTATTTTGTAGGATTTTTTCAAACAAAACCTTTTTTGCATACTTTGTGTTATTTTAGCTATTCAAACATCAATGTTCGGCTCACCTGGGAATGTAAAGTTGTTCAGCTAAAGTCCACAC